CTCGGTCCAATGTGAAAAACCCGGAATGCTGCATACGGCAAAACGAAAAACATGATTGCGCATCAGAGTTCATGAGATGAGTATGCGCATTCATTTTTTTCTTGTTGCCTTTTCCTTTTTCTCCCAATTTCGCGTAACAGCCTTCTCAGTTGTCATTAGATTAACTACGAATATGATAAAAGCATTACCAGTGAACGTTCCACCGCGAGATTTTGATCTAACAGCTATAGTTGTTGTCGCTATGTGTCTTGTACATACACCATTCACACATGTCTCGGGTGAGCTGCACACATTGTTGGGATATCCGCAGTTGTTCAAGTCGGTCTGGAAGCACATCCCTTTCGGCGATTCGGTACTGTAGATTGAATAGTAAACTTTGTCTTCACTGAAGCCGCCGCAAGGTGAATCTGTGCGTTTGCGCTGTTTTAGGGGTTTCTAAGGAAAAGGTTACAAGAACACGCAACTGTCTCTTCCACATTCCAGATGGCACTTTGATTCTTCTACTCGTGCAACCTTGACTGACTCGCTAAAGATTTGACATCCATCGTCGCAGCCACAGACTGACATTCCGTTGTCGTCCATCGCAACATCGGGATGCAAGCTGAAATATGCCGTATGATTTATTCTTGCGGTGTTTTGATTCGCCTTCTGATGGCACATTTCAAAACAGTTTGAAGGGGTTTGAGATTGATGTGGGGTGACATTAGGCTCGTAAAAGGGAGCCAAATCTTTGTCCCCTTCAAAGCAACCTGTCAAGATAAAATAAGATAAGAATCAAGGATCCAAATTTTCTGTGATGGTTCACCAAAATAATGGTACGTTGGAAAACATTGCCCGCCACTGCATCTGTGTCCGGTCCCACATGCAACTCCAGGCTTTCCACAGTGAAACGAGTCTATCTTGAAAACATCAGGGTCCATAAATTGTGATAAATTATCATCTCCGGTGGTATAAATCGAAAAAAAGACATGTGTTCCATTGTAGCCACCACATTTCGCATCTGAACTCTTGTGTTTAGAACGATGCCAGCAATAGAACTTTGCTGCTTTACCTTTCCCACAATAGACTTCGCATTCGGAGTCCAATCCGTGAGTCAAGTCTGCGTTATTGCCAGCAAATAGTGGCCCATTATCGCACAGGCATGAAATGGTATCCATCTCTTCATCGACGTGAGAGGATGTCGGCTCAAGAAATAAGGATGGAAATAGAGCAAAGAAAGGTTGATTTGCTTTGATACATGAGGGAATACAATCTTTCGCTGAAACAATCGCACTGTCGCGCACGATGCTCAAATCTCTTCCTCCGTTATCTGCTTGCATAGAAATGTGCCTTACAGCATCTTTTGAAATCCTGTTGATCTGGTTGATGGCGCCTGGTAGGCCTTCAGAGAGTAGTCTCGAGTAACAACCTTTTTGTGGGTTGGTTGGGTCAGGCAAGGGTTCAATGCAATCCAAAGCATCGACCAACCGAGATAGGATGAGGATGACGCGACTGAAAGCTCTGTCAAGCAGGCGAGAGCTGTCAAGGGAATAGTCCAGTGTTGTTGCCACCGCATGAGTTGTTTGGAATTGACAATTCGGTCCATCTCTGCTCGAAGCCACGTTGCACCAGAAAATCGCAGTTGTGGCAGTTGAGGAGGAATCAAGTGACACTTTTATTCCCGAACATAATGAAAAGTGAGAAAAAAAGGTTGCCGAAAGTGACAAGCAAAATTTGCTGGAAGTATTTGATGACAGTCGAGGCCAAGACGGTGCTTCCGCGGGTGCTCACGATCGCGGGAAGCGACTCTGGCGGCGGTGCTGGAATCCAAGCGGACATCAAGACCTTCACTGCGATCGGAGCGTACGGAGCCTCCGTCATCACGGCGTTGACGGCACAGAACACGCTCGGTGTCCAGGTAACCATCATCGGCATCCCCCGTTTCGGAGTGGCCGCCATTGATGGTGTGGACAGGGAATCCACGCCTGTCCGGTGCCGTTCGTGGAGCAGCAGCTGGACTCCGTGCTTTCGGACATTGGCGCAGACGCCCTCAAGACCGGAATGCTGTTTGACGCCGCCACGGTGGAGGCCGTGGCAGCCAAAGTGGCGCAATTCAGCCTGCGCAATCTCGTCGTGGATCCAGTAATGGTTGCCACCAGCGGCCACTCGCTTGTCGTCCACGACACAGTGCGCGCCATCATTGACTCGCTTCTGCCGCTCGCCACGCTCGTCACGCCCAATGTACCAGAGGCGGAGGTCTTAGCCACCATAATCTCCAACGGAAATGAGTTTAAAGTCGCTTCCTTGACCGATATGCACATTGTAGCGCGTCTGCTGCACAGAACAGGTTCCAAGTACGTTCTTGTAAAGGGTGGTCATTTGCCCTTGGATGTATCTGTCCCGAAAGCAGAACGCGTCGGTGTCAAAGTGGTCGACGTTGGAATCACTGTACCACGCAGCGAAGTTGGTGTTGAGAGTGGTATGAATGTGGTTGACGTCCTATTCGATGGGGAAACGATAGTAGAGTTTTGGAAGCCACACATTGAGACAAAAAATACACACGGGACCGGGTGCACCCTGTCAGCCGCGGTTACAGCGCATTTGGCGCTTGGAAAAGATGGTAAAAATTCTTCATAACTTTGTTCTTGTCCTAACGACTCAAACATCCATTTCCTTCAGTCTTTCAAGCCGTTGAAGCTGCGCTTCTATATGTTGCGAATGCAATTGCCTCTGCTGTGAACATTGGACAGGGAAACGGCCCGCTCAACCATCTTCATACCATCGTCAAGATGCGAGCAGTGACGAAGTGAGAGGCATTCGAAAAGGAGAACCTTTCTCAGCCAAACCACACACAGGAACAACTTCTTACAAATTCTGAAAGACTCGTGCAAGAAAGAATGGGATGAGTACATCAACCATCCCTTTGTGCGGGGACTGGCAGACGGCACTTTGAATCAGGTGCGTATGATCGGCAGTTAATGTGTTGCTCTGGCCTGATGACGCAACCAACAGGACTGCTTCAAGCATTATATTCGTCAAGATTATATCTATTTATTGCATTACGCGAGAGGGTATGCTTTGGCAGCCTTCAAGGTGGGCTGTTGTTTTTTGATTCTTATTCTCGTGACGAACCGGCACGCAGGAACAACGCATGGATGATATTGCAACTGCAGCAAGCATTGCAATGGGAATTGCCAGAGAAAGTAAAGATGTCCACGTCAAGTATTGCGAGAGTTGGGGAATCTCGCTCGACGATTTGGAATCCACGAAGGAAGCTACAGCCAATCTCTCCTATACACGCTACTTTCTTGAAAAAGGTCTGTGTGGTGATCGTCTAGATCTGTATGTGGCCATGGCGCCGTGTCTCATTGGATATGGAGAAATTGGTCTGAAGCTCATGAACGATCCGGCAACCAAGCGCAAAGACAACTTGTACTGGGACTGGATAAGTAACTACGGAAAGGAAGATTTCCAGCAAGCTGTCGTCGATGGAGAAGGTATTTGTGCGGATGCGGGACTGTTCTAATTCCAACTTTTCCAAGCGCGACTTGCTCAGCTCTTTGAGGAAACTGTTCCCTCAACGAACACAACTCGGCTGCAGCAACTGTGTGAGATTTTTAGGCAAGCCACGATTCTTGAAATCAAGTTTTGGGATAGTTGAGTGACTTGTTTACTCAATTTCTCGTAATTTACTGAGCTACCTTCAATTCCAGTGGGATTATATCAACAAGACTAGTTTTTGGATATTGTCGGATATGTTTATTAAAGTAGCTCTTGACACCGAGATTCAACATAACTCTTCAGTTGGCTACATTTCACTGTCAGCTCGATTAATTGGCCTTGAGTGTCTTGGGTTCCTTCATTGACAGAGCCGTCGAAACTCGACTCTGGAGTGTGTTAAGAGTGAGTTCCTTTCAGAACCAGTTAGTTTGAAGCGACTCTTATACGCATATCCTTTTTTTCACTTCGACCTCGCGTTTTCCGGTTATTTGAATTTTCGACAAAAAAATGGGATTCGTTTTAAGAGAATGCTTGACTTCGAGATTCCAGCCGTTGTTGAAATTTTAGTCCTATATAGTACGAGTGTTCCAAATTTGAGACCATTTCTTCTGTTTCCTTTCAGAGATTCCTGGTCATTTTGTGCATTCCGGAAGATGCGTTAGACTTACATTTGTAAAAACAGTTCTAAAGCAGATGAAACCGCCAAAATCACCTTTACAAACATTCCAGATGCAATACCCTTCATTCCAATCTTTAGCGCATTTGAAACACGTAGGAAAACTATGAATACACTGAAGTTGTTGGGTAGCTGCAAAGAGGGCACACGAGCCTTTGGCTGACTCAAAACAGAATTAAGATATAGCGGAGTCGGATGATTATCGCAAGGACAGATCACGAATTCCTTTCAGCTCTCTGAGCGTGGCTGATCCGTCCAAAGTAATATGAACGTTGATCCGCAAAATTGAGAGTCATAAAATTCTAAACTCTTTGAATGGTTGAGGGCGGTCAAAACTGCACAACCTGGAACGAACCCGACTTGATTCAAAAGATGGCTATAAATTGTACGTCGCTTCTTATGACTGTTACGGAATAGACAGTGGATTCTATTTTACAGGACACGTATCAGGTAAAACTTAAAATTACAGATTAATCAGGCTCATTGAATCGCGTGGCTTGCCTCGTATAACGGTCAGTACAGCTCGTTGTGGCCGAGCAAATCCAGGTTCGATTCCTGGGGCAAGCAAAGGAGACCCCTTTTGCCTATCCTGCAATAAGTTTGAGGGCTATGTCGAGGTGCGAGGTTGTCCTGAAACCAGTCGAGTGGAAGGACAAATGGCTCCTGCATATCCAACTCACACTTAATGATTCCATTCAATAAGAGAGCAGTAAGGAAAGGAAGTTGGAGCAATGTACTTTCCTGTGTGCATCACACTTGTTCAGACTATCCTCCTCTAGTGCCCAAGCGCGCAAAGATTTCTGGTGGAGTCTGAACCCAATCGCCGTCGACCTGCCATCAAAAGCGAGACGTACAGGGATTGAACCTGTGACCCTTGGATTCGAAGACCAATGCGCTGCCACTGCGCTAACGCCCCTACACGTCATATTACATAATGAGCTTTCCGGTTCCACCCGGATCATCCCGATAAGGGTTCAACTGCAGTTCTGTATATTTCAAATATTGCCTATCACAACAACAGGTATATTTCGAATATTTCCATTACAACATCAGTTATATTTCAAATATTTCCATTACAAAATTGCTATAAAAGGACGCAGTGTTTTAACCAAATAAACATCAACTTCTAAAATATCTTCCCCTTCGATTCTCTATCATTTGGTAGCACCAGAGGAATGTCCTCCTCTTCCGACATCCTTATGACCTCCAGCACCGCGCCC